TTCTTACTATCCCGATATTTGGGAAATGGTTATAAATATCGGGATAATGAAATCTGCTACTTTCATTCATTCTATAATTAGTGATAATAAGGAACAGAGTTTTTTTTTATACGTGATAGGTAGATTGCTCCACTCCACCTGTAGGGCTAACACGGTGGGCGCGAATTGCGCGAGAGCGACGTAAAACGCGGGATCTCTTTGCGAGAATGTACTATTCTTTTTTTTTTTAATTTTACTGTTTAGTATAACACTGCCCTCCTTGTTCTAAACAACGCATGTACATCTTGATAACTTTCGAGATACTGGCACCTAAAGAGTTTTCTTTCAAAAATGTCAATTACGCTTATTTTGCTTAACAATAAAACTGAAAGTAAATAAGAAGATAAACCGCTTATAAAGGGGTTGTAAATCTCGTTTCGCTGATTCCAGATATGTTTATAACTCAATTTCGCAAAAAATGTCGATTACGCTATTTATGATGAGAACGGCAGACCATAGACTTGGATAAAAAAGAAATTGATTTATGAAATAATGCACCTATTTATGTGGTTTACTATAGACTACATACAAGGAGTTGATTTATATTTTTTGTGTCTCGTTGCGTATCGTCCAAGTTACTGCGCAATCATAAACAAATTCGGTTTAAAATAATGAAAAATTTTACTATTAATTAGTCGTCATGGCCACGGTTCGTTTACTAAACAAGTGTAAGTAGGTTCTCGTAGATAACAAACAAAGTAAAACAGCATGAAGTTAAAAGTAGCGGTAATTTTTGTTACATTAGCGATACATAAAGTGGAACACATTTTTTTTTTATTATTTCAAAGTTGAGATTATCAGTGAGTAACTTACTGTTTGGGTGAATGAAAGAGAACCGAACGAGTATGATTATCCAATTTAACTAATACGAGGGCCACACTGAAAGTTTTGCACAACTCATAATAAAACTATTTATAACGAAATTAATATGTTTATTGCTGTTCAAAATATTCTCAGTTACATTTTAAACGCTTTTTTATGAAAATATTATGAGCCTATGGGCTCAAACCATTTTTTAAAACACAAAGGCCACTCATTTGAGTGTACGTCTTCAACGTGTTGGTTGAAAGTCGCCACTGCCACTTCTGGGTACGGAAATATCAATCCCTCGCTATCATTTTTTTGCCTACGCTTCGAGCTTGTTGCAATTTTGTTGTCACCTTTGAAGACCCATTCACTGGACTGCTGTTTTTTTTCCGGATCGTAAAAATAAACCCATATTTCGTCTCCTGTAACGATGTCATAAACAGCGTTTGAACGTCTGTGGTCAAACTTTAGCAACATTTCAGCAACATTTCTTTGCACCAAACAACACGAGCCCGTTTCTGGTCAGATGTGAGTTCGTGTGGTATCCAGCGAAAACAAAGTTTCCTGACTTGCAAATGTTTGTGCATTTTTTTTTTCAATTTGGTTCATACCGTAGGTGATACGCCGATTTTCTTCAACGAGTCGCTTGACAGTAGCCACGTTATCATTATACACTGCAGTTGACGGACGACCTTCGCGAATCTCATCATAGAGAGAAACACGACCAATACCAATACCAATGCCTGACAGTGCTTAGATGTGATGCTTCAATAAGTTTTAAAGTACCAGATAATAAAACATATCATAATACGTAGCGCGTTAATACCGTAACGCTGTGCGGTCTTACCCTTAAAAATGTGATAAACCGTCAAATTTTATTTGTCAAAAATGGTAAGAAAACATCTGAGGATTAAACAAGTTTTGATTTATCATATGAGGTCAGATCACCAAGTACAATATACATTAAAAAAGTATACATGAGATAGTTCCGGTTCATTGGTTGGTTTCATTCATGTATCAAGATACATCACTAAAATACATTAACCAATTTTAAACAATCACTTGATATTATGTGCGGGACGTAAATAAAATAAAGGTGCTCCTTAAGCTAATATACCTTCTTCACAAGCGTTAAAGAACATGTTTTTAATATACATCTATAATACACACCACATGGACACACCTTACACTACAAGTGTACAAAATAACACACATAAAATAAAACATAGTAATCATATCACAAACAATCACCACTATCACTATTTAACCACTCAATGCACTATTAATCTTCATTCAGTTATCCGACACCAAATCACCGGTTAACAAGTTGCAGTTAAATGTAACAATGATTATTTATTTGAAAGTTAAATATGACTGATTTAGAAAATAACTGTGAGAAATTTAGTATTTTATAGAAGGCGGTTGTAATAAAGTGTTAAACAACCAAGAAATATTTTTAAAATATGAAGAAAATGTGATGTGAAATCAACCTGCAAAATATGTATATATAAGCCATTTTTTGCATTTCAGTACCTTTGTGCTTTAAGATACGAGTTTGAGAAAGAAAGGCGATGGTATGAAACCCCATGCAAACTTTTTTCCTATACAAAGCGCTCGCGCGGCCGGGTAATGTGGGGGTGCGCCCCGGATCGAGCTAACTACACCCATTCGACAAAGACAATTTCTTCATATAGCGTCTCAAGCAATGCCATTATAATTATGAGTTTATCAGGACCACTAAAAATTTAATCAGATTAAAACCTTCCGTTTTTAATACCCTATTAAAAGTCAAAGATTACATGGACCGTGTTGTTTTATCGAACTGAGCGACTGTTGTATAAAGAACACACCTTAAAGCCTCCAAACGAAATTTGTTAATTAACAAACCAAACAAGTCGGCAAGTCATGTACACGATTATTCATTAACGTAGTTGAAAAGGCAAAAACAATTTTCTTTGTCAAAGAGCACATTCAAACAAAAACCACTGCAAATCTAATACCAGATGTCTGGCGCGTTTACTTAAAACTGGAATTAATATTGTATTAAGGTCAACCCCTATTTACGGCATGCATCAGCACTGCAGTTATACTAAAAGCAGCTCACCGGTTAATATTCAATGTCGTTACGAACTAAGACGTTTATTTGATGCCAATTAAGTAAAGAATGCCATAGGTTTGACATACCATAGAAACTTACGATATTACGAACAAGGATATAAAAGAAATCTAATGTAATATGGTACATATAATAAAGCTTGTCTTATTATGACTTTGAAGTGAACTTATTCAATAAGGCATCCTTTACAGAACTGATTGCTATGGGCTTGTCATATCATAGAAACTTATGAAATTTCTCATCAGGTTTTTAAAGGGACGTGAGAAAATATTTAATTTTAAAATTGCTTTCATTATGAGCGCGATGATGATATTTTCTTATTTCCTTTTTTTTTAAGTTAAACATTTCACATATATTACATGTACGGCGTGTAGTACTGAATAATGTAGATTCACCCATAATTCGAAAAACCATTTTATTTATAATGTACTTTGCCACAAATGCTCAAAAGAGAATGAATCGTTAACGATTAAGATCATTTTCAGTAAGCTTAATTGAGCGAAAGATTAAAGGCTACTTTGTTGTTAATTAAAAACCGATGTTCTCGTTTGTAATTCGAGTTTATCATCATTAATATCTCTATTTATTTAAGGTTTAATTTAAATGAGATAACCCTTTCATAGACGGTTGTGAAATTAATCGCGATTTATAACATGGTTACTTTCGCATACAGTAATTGCCTCCGTGGCCGAACGGTTACCATGCCGGACTGCCACGCAGAGGTCTCAGGTTCGATTCCCGGGCCGGGAGAAATGTTTGTATGGCTTACATTTATTTCTCTCGTGAGTTTGGGTGTAATTTGTGGTTGTCTATGTGTGTGTCCATGGCACCCGCGACACAGGGTTTCCCTAGTGCGGGGCCTTTGTTGAGTGTGTGCGTTATTTATTTATAGTCTAAATAGCAATTTGACATTTAATATGTAATACCATAGACTGTTTTTTTTTTAATTTGTATTGTAAAATTAAAAAAACTTATCGTCGGGGATAGCGCAAAACGGCGTATGTAGCATTGGTAAAAAACGCATAACTATACAAAACTAAATTCTACAGGAGAAGGTTTTAACGTTATTACTTTGTTATTTCAATTGCTACGACTTTCGTTTTTACACTGTAAGCCTTGATTTATGTTGGCTGACTGCTAACAATAGATTCGTGTAAATCTTGTTAATTTACTTGCCACGATATTTACGAGGATTTGGTTAAGCGACTAATTTACTGAAGCAGAAATTGATAGGACTGTCATTTTTACACTGTAAGCATTAATTTATATACGCTATAGACTACATACATCTTGTCAATTTACTTGCCACGTTGCCATTTTGCCAGTTTGCCATTTGATTTAGCCACTAACTTACCGAAGTGGAAACTCATACCGTGAGTTCCACGGTATTTAAACCAAAGGCACACAATAATGCAAAATAATCATTTTAATTATCACAACATAATGATTATAAATGCCTTCTAAAGCGTCTTTAACTTCATTATTACCACTTAGCAACATACATGAGGTAAATTAGTTATCAGACAAAACGAGAAGTCCTTATACACTAAACATGGGCATAGCCTTGTATGGAACAGAAAACTTTTTTCCAATAATAAAACACTTCCATCACGTTTACTGTAAAGGGACGTTAAATATTATCAACCCGCCACACCCTTTTGTATGAAAGAAAGACAAATTCGTTTAAGTATAATATAAAGTTACTCACAGTTTAAGGGATTACGTGTGAGCGAAGAAGATTTAGAAGACTACAAAATCACGTAGTGTTTGATTTTTATTAATTTAATAGAAATCACTGTAATGTAAAATGTGCCATAGAACTTGGAAGTAAATCAATAAAGTTTCAATGGCGAGATGACATGCGCAATCCGCCGCCATTTTGTGAAATTCACAAGATGGCGGCTACAGCGACCGCACCCCATTACGCAACAAAAAACACTCACCTGAATTTCTTGAAAATGCAGACGATGCACAGGATTTCTTTCGTATGTAACATCAGGTCAATCGAGAGCACAGATTTGAAAAGTTGAAAACTTACCTGTCACAGAAAACCAGCATCTGAAACAAAGAAAATAATAAGAAATAAGTCTTCCTTTCACGCAAAAGGGAACAAAACAAAAAAAACCAAATAAACTTCACAATGTTACACGGTTACACAATATGACAGGACGAGCACATTATATATAGAAACACAGAACACTTCGGAAAATGTAATAAAAAGGAGATAAATTCGCTTGTGACGCCATGCACACGGGGCACAAATCGTGCAACAGGTTACCACTATATTAATTCCATTTTGTCAGATCAGACTTGCTTTTTCAATTAAAAATCAAGATATTAAAAATTCAGGACATTAAAACTTTAATAGTCCTCAATGTAGATATTTCACGCAGGTCCGTGCTGAACTGAAAGGTTCAGGGCGGGCAACTAACAGAGAGACGCACGGGAGGGGAGCCCTCTGCCTGAATCGGATGCATTTCCCGGGATGCAGGCTACGTGCGATCAATACAGCTGCCATATTCCACGAAATCAGTAATTGGAAATGGCCGGGGGCCGTTGCTAGGGAATACATACAGGTAGTCTAGATAGTCTAGGCATATCACGGCGCGAAGCGTAAGTTGCGATGGCGTAGGTTGGGGGTACACTTAGGTACGTATATTTGTAGGTGCAGGTCTTTCTTTGTTTTACGCTTGATATGCAGATTTGTTGTACAATTAGAAAAAGAAATTAGTAATTAGGATTGTTAACCCAATGTAATAATTATTCCTCTTTTCACTGCCGTAACTGGAGATAACACCTTTCATATGTAACACTCATAAATTATAACAAAATCTCAAAGGCAGCCAAACCCATATTCTCTTTCAAGGAACCGGCCATTTCTTATCTGAGATATTCTTATAGAACGATAATACCAAGTTCATTGGACAACTATGAATGCTTAATTTGAGTACTGGTAATTATTTACATTAAGCGCAATATTCAACAGAATATTTCTGTAATAAACCTAGAATGGTGATTGTCGAAGTATAAACACGTCTCCAGGATTCCTCTGCATTTTTAAGCCACCGGGACACGATGTCTCTTTCTTGGGGTTATAAGACTTCCAAACCTAATGAAACAATAAGCATTTCTAATAAACATCCCTAAATAGGCCCAATGATATTGACGTGTTCAGTAACATTGAATCAAGATTTCTAACACCCGCTGGTTAATATTTGGAGACCCGTCCAAAGCTCCGTGGTCCAAATTCCGCGGCATTTGGACCTTGTTGTTTGAATTTGTCAGCAATCGTATTTATAATATTAATAAATAGAACTATCAAAAAAACCGAAAATATATTATTTAACGTGAAGTCTTTTATAATTGTAATACCATAGTGAAGGGTTTTAGATTTTGGAGGGGCAATTTACTGATATAGATTTACTCATGAAATCAAGAAAACTCGTTTAGCAAAATTTCCCTGGCACTCACCTTAACTCCCTAATTCTAGGGTCGGCAGACTAAAACACATAAGTCAAAAATGTGTTTCTCGTTGTTAATATAATTATATATTTTTTTGTGTTGTTTTTAATGTTGGAAGTTAAATAACATCTAGAATAAAGTACAAAATTTTTGAAGTAACAAATGAATTTGACTTATGTGCTTTAACCAGTAGATGTATTAATTTAAATGAATGATGTTGGATTTTGACTTATGTGCTTTAGTCCGCCGACCCTAGAATTATTTTAGTATTGCGGCGGATATGAAGTTTAGCGTATATGGAAGTTTTTAAGATCAGAATTGAAATCCACTCTTGTTCCCACTTCTCCTCGCAGTGACAGGCTTTGTTTCTAGAACCATATTTTGGGCATAGCCAAATGCCAAAGTTGGATAATGCGTCCCAATCTTTTCTCAAAATACTTAAAATGGTTTCTTGGCCTTAAACAAATAATTCCAAGAATATAAAAAGGAAGTGGCAAAGTGAGGATCTGATTTAGAAAGCTACTCGTTCTGAACTGAGACTCGACTTCAGCTCATAAATTAGTATGTAACGACTGAGAATGGAGCGTGCAGGCTTGAAAATTTGATGCAGTATGCTGTTTACTAAACCACGAGGATTTCTAACATTACAGAGTGCTTTTAAAAAGCTAATAATACTTTCTTTACCAAATTAGTTATTGTCGTTTACAAATCATTTGAACTCATAAAGATGATAAGTAGATAACATAAATTAGTTCTTCAGGGAATTTTTCTTATAAGCAATGTTTAATTTTGGCTTTACATGAAAAATGGAAACAATGTTAATAGGAGTCAATCTCTGCGCAGTGATTCATTATAATCGCACCCTCGATGTGATCAGGTCACATCTACAAAATGACCACTTTTCAAGAGAGGTTTAGGCGACACAAACGAAATATTGCTTTTTTTATAATACCAAGTGACGGGGCGAACAAATCGTGCGCCTGGTGGTAAGCGACACGCGTAACAGTTGCAGTGCCACTGAAAGCTTTTCGAAACCTTGATTTGTTTGAAAATATAAATATACGCAATTTTAAATCCCGACAAAAATTGTTACTTATCCTAACCTACGAACTCGATGGGTATATACATATCCAAAAAATTAACAGTCTGTCTGAGAGACCACAGAGCTAGCAGCTATCTTGCCAAACGTATTAGCATAGCTATACAAAAAGGAGAACGCTGCCAGTATAGTGGGCACCCTGCCACAAGGAACCAATTGTATTAATTTACTTTTAGGCTCAACTCACACTGGCGCAGAGGCAAAACGTCACGACGCGTCATGTTTTTCGCCTATAACATATTCATCTCTATTTTGTCATTATTAAGGTACAAATTTAATGTTACGCAAATATGGAATCGCGCGTTACTTGGGCGCAGTGAGGCGTTAGACGGAGACCACACTGTGACCCGGGTGCACTAATGCGAGCGTAGTCGCGCATCGCCAAGCGTATTAATGCGAGCGTAGTCGCGCGTCGCCAGGCGTACTAATGCGAAACAGGACGCGACGCGATGTTTCGATTTTGCGCCAGTGTGAGTTGAGCCTTAGTGACTTAGATACAAACTTTCAATGTGTAACAACCGCGAAAAAATAAGAATTAGATTTGTACTGTTAAAAATAACTATTAGACGACATTACATACGTTGCTCAGATCCCGAGGTAAGTAACTAAAGCACTTGTATAAAACAAAGGAATCGGAAACAACGACGGAACCACAAACACCCTGTTTGTGGCAGTTTTTAGTAAAAGTGAAAGAGTTGATATAAGGTAGTACTGCAACCTTACCTATTTCCGCCAAGCGGTGATGTGAGCTTTACCACGCTCCGGTTTTGACGGGTAAGGGTGCTGGTGAAATTACAGGCACATGGGATTTGTCATTCAACAGTGGCAGTACCCATAAAGATCTTTTCGATTTAAAGCTCTGAGTGGCATTGCAACTGGTATGGACATAATGTCTACATCGACATACTTTATAATAACTTAATGTTATTGATATTGTTTTTTGTTTTACATAATTATTATTATTTTTTGTATCCTGTACTTAGGTTTGCAGGAAGAGATTTACCTGACGCCTGAAATACCATAGATTTATGTGAAATACCTGACTCACAATAGAAAGAAACCCACATTTTGTAGTAAACTCAAATTATTACTAAATCAAAAATGTTATTACTCAGTTAATTAACATTTTGAATATGAAAATAGACTCTCTTAAACAAAATTTACTTACAATTATAAAAAGGGGCGATCGAGGATTAGACATACGTTTCTCCGGTGGTGGCGCTGTACAAGGGACTAACTTGGATTGCAACAAAAAATGGTATGCAAAACAGGTACAATAGGCTCATCGGTCGCGCCATTATTTATTTAAATGAACGAATGATGTGTACCACAAAGCTTAATTTTATAATAAGTTATTTTTACTATTTACGTATAAATATAAACTTATATAACAAAATAGGAAATGAAACTTTTTTTCCGGATTTAAATCGCGTATATTTAATAAGGACCTTTACAGGTCCCATGGTCACGGTTGACTGACGGTCAACGGGCTCGAAACGTCGGTTTGTTTGAAAAAACAAATATACGCGATTTAAATCCGGAAAAATAGTTTCATTTCCTATGTGTAACAATCGCGAAAACCTAAGAACTCGTTATATAACAAAACTTAAATATTTAATTAAAATATAGTGCGTCGCCTACAATAACTATTTACTTGTATTCAAATTGTATTATTAATTTAAATTTTAGTACATAAGAATTATCATTTGTTATATACACCCTTACTGGGCGCATGTAACATTTTTAATGTAATGTCTCTACCAATGCAAATTAGTAAAAAAGAAAAAAAAACATAAATTTTTTTTTAATAATCAGAACCTATTGTTTGTGTTTACCTTTTGTTAAACGTGATTTGTGTATTTCCTATACAATATACGATTAAATAATACTATTAAATATTCTCAGAAAGGGTAAGTATGACGATCTCTATGTCTTAAACAACAAAAGTCTTTCTTACATTGACATGAAATACTCAAAACCTTATGGATCGGTGCTTTCATTTTAAGCCTGTCCCAGCCACATGTCAGTAAGAGTGATAAAACACGCGTCAATAAATATGCTGTCAGGGGCAGCCGTAAACAAAACCGTAAAACACAATTTGCTTTCCTTCATATTAGACTAACTTGGTCCGACAGACGGAATTGTGGATACAACACATGGTCAGCGTTTTTTTATAACGACGATAATGATATTTTATCTACCTCGTACATAATAGCTAACATCATGAATTACAAAAAATAGCAAGGTTGTACAACACTATTTTATTTATACTATGAGTTTTCAACCCCTCAATTAGGTAAAAGATCTGTTAGCCTGTCATTAGGTACAGCCCTGTACAGTACGTCTTTTTTGAAGACGAAGTAAAATGACAGACACACCTAACCATAACAGCTGTAGTGCCACTCAGAATTATAAATTACAATGATCTGAGGGGCACTGCCACTGCACCCGTAACCCTGAGACATAAGTTGACAAGTCCCTTGTGCCTGTAATTTCA